TTAGGACTGTTGTACATAGGGTCACTATGAGTCGCAAATGACTCGATGACACATAACAACAACAAGAACAATTATCTTCAGTATCCTGATGAAAAGGAAGAATGAAGAAGGTTATCAGGAGAACTTCCAAATACAAAGAGGAAAGTTGATATGAAATGGGTGCTGAGGGAAGATGTCATACTTTAATGGTGCCTACTCCTCCAAACTCAGACTCAGATTTCAGTACCAGAGCCTTACAGTCCAGAACAAAGACTCGGACAACCACTGCACCTTTCAGTTGTTGTTGTTGTTGTTGTTGGTACCATCTAGTTGGAAACGACACATGGTTAACCCTCCAGTGGGTTTTCAGAGACAGTCACTGACAGGATGAGATGCCCATCTTTCTACCACACAGTAGCTGGTGGACTCGAACCAGGTATCTTTGTGTTGGCAGAGCAGTTCCTTACAACTAAGCCATCACTGATACAAACCATAATATAGTTCTCCTAAAGTTTTTTGTGCTTTTTTTTTCCACACTGGTGCTTTATTAGTAGAGCAGGGGCAGGTCATGGATAGAAGAGAAATGGAAAATCATAAGATGGTAAAACCCTAGGAGAAGAAAATTTGGGATAAGAGAGGGGAAAGGTCTAAGAAGTGACCTTTTAGTTCTCAACATGAGGAGAGTCAAAGAACTTTCCAGAAAAATCCTTCCTTTCACCTTATTTAGCAATGATATTGTGAGCCTTTGGTTGAGGTTGGTGAGGGTGGTGACTGGTGTCTTTATCTGTAACTCATAGAGACATGTAGGCCCAAGGTCACAGTTGAGAAGTAACTATAGCTTTGGGAAAAGCAGGGGGTCTCACATGTCATGGGCTAACATAGCTATGATTGAGGCCCTGCTTTAGTTTGACCCCACCTGTCCCCCATGATTTCTTAGGTATCAGATACCTTATACAATATTTTTCACAGTGTGTGTGTGTGCCTGTCTCCGTAGACAGAACCAGAGTAGTAAATCTACAGATGAAGAAATGGTAGCACCAAACCTCCATTCTTGAACATGGACTGAATCTAATCAAAACTCACCTCTCTCTCTGTTTTAACACTAAAGAGAAAAGTTGAGATGCACAAATCAAGGATTCACATGGAGTTCAAGCAGCAGAGAACATTTCTGGATAATGAAGAACAGAAGAGGTTGGAGAAACTACAAGAAGATAAGAAGACTCAGCTTAGAATCTTAGAAGGGATTGAGAACCAGTTGTCTCAGCAAAGGAGAGCCCTGCAGGAGCTGATCTCAGAGCCGGAGCAAAGGAGTCAGGACTCTGCATTGGACATGATGCAGATAAGATGTGGGAGAGGCTCTATCTGAGAGTGAAGGAACAACACAAGACAGGTCTGGGCCAATAAGCAACATCATGATAGGTGGAGGAAAAATTGAAATTGTCAACTACTTCATCTTACTTGGATCCACAATCAACACTCCCAGTAACAGTAGTCAGATCAAAATGTGTATAGTATTGGGAAAGTCTGCTACCATTGACCTCGCCAAAGTCCTAAAGAACAATGATGTCAGTTTAAAGACTAAGGTGTAAATGATTTAAGCCATTCTGTTTCCAGTCACCTCTATGCATCTGAGAGCTGGACAGAGAATAAAGATGACAGAAGAAGAATTCCGCCTTTGAGTTGGAATGTTGGAGATTAGTATTTGGCAATCTCAGGAACTGTCAAATAAACAAATATACCTTATCTAAGAAAAAGTACAGCCATAGTGTACCTCAGAGGATACTCACATACTTTGGGCATGTTGTCAAGTGTGGCTTTAGAAAGGGACATAATGTTTAGAAAGAGGGAAAGTCAGCAAAAGAGAGGAAGAGGCTCAATGACATGGATTGATACAGTAACTACAGGAGTGGCCTCAAGTGTGCAGAGTGTGATAAGGATGGCACAGAATAGGACAGGTTTCAGATGTGTTCATAGAGTCACTAAGTAATACTCGATGGCACCTAACAACACCACCAATAGGTATACCATATGACATGTCTTTTTCAAGAACAAGGTACACTTGATCCAAGCCATGGTCTTTTCAATTACTTGCTATGCATCTGAGAGTTAGACAGTGAATAAAAGTGACAGAAGAATGCATTTGAATGGTGGTGATGGAAAAGAGGAGTAAGTAACCATGGATTGCCATGGACTGTCTTGGAGAGAGTGTAGCCAGAGTGTTCCTGAGAACATGAGAGATTGTGAAACTAGGTCTCACATACTTGGGCAGGTTGGTTAGGAGGGGCTATTCCTTAGAACAGGACATCACATTCAAAAAAGCAGAGGATAAGTAGTGGAAGACCCCCAATGATATGGAGTGACAGAGTGATTGCTACTCTGGGCTTATGTGTGACCCAGATGATGAGGATGGCACAGGATAAGACAGGGTTCATATGCATCATTCAAAGGGTCATTATGAATTGTTCTTGACCTGATGGCACCTCACAATAACCATTACCATTATTACCATTACTTTACTACAAACAGAATCCTTGTTCTTGGAATATTCTTAAACAATGAAGATTCATGAATAGTTTACATTCAATGCATACTAAGGTACAGATTTAAGAGAGACTATTTCATGCAGCAGAGATCCTAGGTGGTACACACGATATATAGAGGTCCAAGACTAACCTGAGGTACGACCGAAGAAAAACCTGACAATCTCTTTAAAAAAATCTGCCATTGAAAACACTGGAGAACAGTTCTATTCTGACATACATTGGGTTTCTTTAAGTAAAATGTGACTCGGTGGTAACTGATCTAATTTGTGGTTTTATTCCACACAATAACGAGCAGAAATAGACATCCTTGGTAAGTGTCTAATATATACTTCTTGTTATGTAAGTATAGCTGACCCTCCAGCAGGTTTTCAGAGGCACATAATCTCACAGGAGGAGATTACTCATCTCTCTGCTGCAGAGGAACTGGTGGATTCGAACCAAATGCCTTCAGGTTGGCAGCACAGCTCCTTAGCACAAGGCCACTAGAGCTCTATCTGACACATACCAGGAGTGTTTTCTCTGCAACACCTTTCTCATATGGATAACGAATGCTAACATACTGCAGAGCTCAAAGCATTTTTGTGACATTTAAATGAAAGAATCCACTAAGGCTCTCAGAGTCTGATTTTATTTTGTTGTTGTTTTTGTTGTTGTAGCTGCTGTTGTTGTCAGGTGTTGTCAAGTTGATAACAGCTCATAGCAACCTATGCATGACAGAACTATGCCTTGCCTTATCATGCGTCGTCGTCTCAATCCCCACTGTTCTCACACCCATTGTTGCAATCACTGTGTCAGTCTGTCTGGATGAGGGCTCCCTCTCCTCCTCTGACCCTCTGCTTTTCTGAGCATGATGTTCTTATCAAGGGACTAGCTCCTGTAATTACACACCCAATATAGATGAAATAAGTCTCACTCACCATCGTTGCCACCAAGAAACACTCTGACTGCTCGTCCTATTTTTTCCTATTTCTTTCATTCTTTTGGTAGTCCAGTGTAAAGGCATCACTACTTTAGTCTAGTTTAATCAATGCCCAATGTTCACATGCATATTGAAACAATATGGCTTGGTCAGACACATCTTAATCTTTAACCGGACATCTTTGCTCTTTATCACTTTAAAGAGGTCTTTGACAACAACTTTTCCAAAGAAATAATGCCTTTTGATTTTTTTTTCCTTTACATAAATCTTTATTCTTTTTTTCCCTTTGAAAATTACTATCCTGGTGTTTCCATGGTTGTTGGTTAAGTAAAATTAAATGTTTAACAACTTCAGTCTTTTCTTCACAGTAGCAGTATATCGACAGAGAACTCTGAGAAATTCAAGTCAGATGCAGAAGAGGATGTGGAGCAAGAGATCTCATTGCTGATGACAGATGGATATGGACTGAGAAAACCAGACAGATGTTTTTGACTATGTAAAGGCATTCCACTCTATGAGTAACACAATATGAGTAACATTGCAAAGAAGAGAAATTCCAGACACTTACTTGTTTCCAGGAGGAATCTGTACATAGACCAAGAATCAGTCATGCAAGTATAACAAGTGAATCAGGTGTTGTTTATAGTGAGGAAAGAGTGGGCATCAGGATCATGTCCTTTCCCCACACTTATTCAGTCTGCATGCTAAACAAATAATATGAGGAACTGGACTATGTGAAGAAAGAACAAAACCTCAAGATTGGTAGAAGGCTTGTTGTTGCTCTGTACCATTGAGTTAGAATCAGCCTTCCACGGGGTTTAGAGGCAATTAATCACACACATGGAGACTCTCTGTCTTTCTCTCACAAATCAGTTCATGGATGCGAACTGTGGGCCTTGGTGATTATAGCCCATCTCACCACTAGCACTAGGCCACCAGTTCTCCAGAAGACTCATTGACAACTTGAAATATGCAAATGGCACAACACTGATGGCTAAAAGTGAAATGAAAAGGACTTGAAGAACTTGTTAATGAAGATCAAAGACTAAACCTTCAGTATGGATTACACCTAAACAAAGAAAACCAAAAATATACATAACTGGATCAATAAGTAGTATCATGGTAAACAGTTGTCAAAGATGTTGTTTTATTGGATCCACACTCAATGCCTATGAAAGCAGCACTCAAGAAATAAAATTGCATACTGCATTGGACATATCTCTGTAAAAGACCCCTCTAAGAGAAAGAGAGAGGAAGACGAAGACCTTCAACAGGATGGATTTACACACTGTAACAATGCGCTCAAACATACCAGGATTAGGAAGGACGATGCAGCGGAGTGCAAGGTTCAGATCTGTGGTTCACAGGCTCCCTAGGAGTGGAAGCTGACTCTATGGAACATTAACAATTCAAAAACTTTTAACTTTTTAAAGTGTTAAAAAAACAAAGCTGTCACTTTGAAGACTAAGGACTGACACAGGTCCTATTTTTAAGATGTCTCATGTACAAGGCATCCTCTTCCTAAACAATATGCCTCTGGAAACTCTGTGTACTTTGATAAATGTTGATAGTTATAGAAAGGCTTCAGGGCTTTTGTTCATGCTTGACTCAAAGGCAGTCAGCAACAATAATATATAGATGCAAAAAAAAAAGACAACAAGTATAAAAGATCATAGAAAAACTAAGGCTTTTGAATTATCATGGTTTTGAAAAAGAATAAATATTCTATGGAATTCCAGAAGAACCAAACTGTCTTACAAGAATTCTCCTGAGAAGCAAGAATGGTAATATTATGTCTCATGTATTTGGGACATATTATCAGGAGTAACTAATTCCTGGAGAAGGACTTCATGCTTAGTTAAGTAGGGAGATAGTGAAAAAGGGCTAGCATAATGGTTGTAGTGATTGTGAAGATGGTGCAGGCCACATAGGTTTCATTCTACTGTAGATTGGCTCTCTGAGTCCTTGACAGCACCTAACAGGAACCTCTCGGTTGCCACATGAGGGCGTCCAACCTCTACCCTAGAATCATTTGATTTCACAGATCGGGAATATTAAGTACAGCACAGGCCAAAGCTTTAACCAGCCAAACCTCTTCAAGACATGCCAGCAGATGAGAAGAGTTTCTTGGCCTCCTAGCTTAGACATTCTCCCTGCTACTGTCTCTGGGCTTCAACTCAGCTGGACTATTTTCCCACTCCACCCTCTTGATCTGAATTTTTAATTCATTTATTTAGCTAAAGGTATATTATCTTTTATCTAGCAATAGTTCATACTCGTGTTTCCTGGTTACTTTACAGCCATCCACATACCTTCTCTGCTTCACATTGATAGGAAAGACATTGTCCTAGAATGGAACGGAGCAGGGTCATAGGACCACAGTTTTGTATCACATCACCATTATGAACAAGTCTTAGTGGTGACTCTATAACTTACATTCTCTCTCTTTTCTCCCCAGGAAGTTCAAAGAATCCCGAAAGGTAAGAAGAGGGGTTTGGTTTGTTTTGGTAAAAGGCAGGGTGTCAGGAAGCAGGTATACCCATGAAGAGGGTTTATAGAGTTATGAAGAGACGTGCTAAAAGTTTCCCCATATTCCTCGCTATTCTCAAAAACCCAATTCTCTATAAAATACTGCCTAGAATTCAGGCAATACCTAAACCTACTATGATTTTTTAATAGAATTTAACCAGTTATACCCCTTTGGAAAAGAGCCATGATTAAGATGTACATGGTGACTGAGACTCCTTGAGGTGTCTTAAAGAGATGATTCAACCTGTTTCGGATGGTCTTGTATACAAAACATAGTAGATTGTACTTACACCATACCAGCATTGCAGAGGCTCATGTAATCAGGAATTCCTGGTGCTAACTGAATCCCCTACCCTCAAGTACGAAACAAAAAAGGTGATTATAAATTGGAGTCGACTTACATTATCAAAGTAATCCATAAGAGAAGTCTGGCACTGGGACTCTGGAAGGATGTTGGAGGAGATGGACATGGGTGTCTCAAATTCTGTTTCCCTCACAAGTGATACCTGGGAACTGAATAAGCCAGACATTGTCTGCCCAGACCCAATGACTGAGTATTCTGTGTCAGAACTGAGGACGTTCAGAGGTGAGGTGAACCCTAGGAGCTGTGGGACTGGTCCGCCTGGGGAACAGAAAGATACAATCAGGATGAAGAACTGATGCCCTGAGTTGGAGGAAATCGCAGCATCAGAGATGGCAAGTTCAAGTAGGTAGGGCAGGGAAAGGTAGAAAAGCTGGTGGATGGAAAGGTCATGGCAAGGACCAGAGTTAGCTGGGTTTTATTTCCCCACATGCCAAGGCTCAGAGTTACTCCCTGACCCTTACATATGAACAGACCACTGATAACCACCACCTCCTGTCATCCAAGACTTCCCAAGTGTAACTATGGTTTCCCTTTTCTGCAGAAGACATCACGTTGGATCCAGAAACAGCCAATCCCTGGCTCATCCTTTCTGAGGATCTGAGACAAGTGAGGCTTGGAGATAAATGCCAAGAGTCCCTTGACAATGATGAGAGATTTGATTGTTTTCCCATGGTCCTTGGTGCCCAGAGCTTCAGCTCTGGAAAGCATCACTGGAAAGTCGACGTGACCGGAAAGAAAGCCTGGGACCTAGGGGTTTGTAGAGACTCTGTGCAAAGGAAGGGACCATTTTTGCTCAACCCTGAGAATGGCTTCTGGACAATTTGGCTGTGGGACAAACAAAAATACGAGGCTGGAACCTCCCCAAAGACCTCACTTGACCTTGAGGTACCTCCACGCCAAGTAGGAATATTCTTGGACTGTGATTCTGGCACAGTCTCCTTCTACAACATCACTGACGGTGGCTCCCTTATCTACGCTTTCTCTGAATGTGTCTTTGGTGGTGAGCCCCTGCGGCCCTTCTTTAACCCTGATGACGGAGAAAACACTGATCCTCTGAAACTCTGTCCACTAAGTTGAGAATAGTAGAGTCCCAGTAATGACTGGTGTCCTTCTGTGGACACTGTCACCTGCTCCCCATCAGGTCCCTCTTAGTCACTTGCCCTGCTTCTTTTTTCATTAACTCTGAGCCCCAGCATTCCTTACCTAGATTGCTTATGATTCCTTCCCAGAAATCAGACTACTTCTGTTGGTCCCAACCATCAATGGAAAAATATATGCTGTCTTCTCTATGTGACTAAAGATGTGTTGGGTTGTTTTTTGGGGTTTTTTTTTTTCTCTCTCTCTGCCCCTATAGCCATTGCTTTTGGTCCGATTTCTATTCTATCTTGCTGGGATGACAGAAAGGCTTCCCAAGAAAATTGTGCCTCAGTCTATACATCCAGAACTTTCTCCTCATTTACATTTTGGGTGACATTCCACATCTGATTATAAATGACTCCACATTCCCTGATTTTATTAAAAAGGTATGTTCCAAAATGAGGGCTAATATAGAAAGGCCTTGGAGTGCTATGGTAAATATTCAGCCTATTGTATATACTTTACTACATGTTCACCACAAATATTGCACATTAAATAATTACCACCTTGAAATTGTTAAAATTGATGTGTCCTTTTAAAATATCTTTTTATTGTGATTTTTAAAAAGTTTACATAAAACTTATATATTTATTCATTTTTACACACTTTCCTCACTACTCTCTGAGTTCACTTTTACTTTTAAAAAAAATTGTTCACTGCTGCATGAATTCCTCCTTCCTCCCCACCCCTCTCATAGACCACTTTGCTATGTACCTCTTATTCTGGACTGTTGTCATACAAGTAATGCCTAATCGTACATTCCTTTTAAACTCTTCTTTTCTACATCTGTTGTAATGCAGTATTCCTTATTTATTTCCTCTTCTCTTGTTTTTCCCCCAGCCCCATATCAGTTGGGGGTTTTTTGCTTTTTTTTATTAGTTTGCTTACAAAGTTTACATACACTGTGTTTCACATTTTGTTTCATGCAACCATTCTCATGAATTATTTTTTGTTAAATTAATCACCATTGGACCTTGCCCATCATGTGTCTCCGACATCATACAAAGTGCATTTTCTATTCTTGATGACTCTTCCCTCCTCTCAAACACTCAAAGGCACCACTGTCAAGCCAGTTCCAACTCATAGCACTTTCTGTCAAGTTTCTGAGGTTGTAAAACTTTACAGAGGATATTGGCCCTCATTCCCTTGCAAACTAGGTAGTAAATTTGAACTACCAGCCTTTTGGATAGTAGCCTGATGTATAAGACACTATGCTACCAGGGATCCTTTTGCTTCTTCTACACTTGGAATGTTTGGTCTGTGATTATAAAACTCTAGATATTTGGATTTCTTCTCTAACTCCATATCTTCATTACCTATTGTTACTATAGCACAAATACCATAAGTGGTTGATTTTATGTTGTCATTATTGTTGTTATGTGCTGTCAAGTCACCTGTGATCCATAGAGACCCTATGTACAGCAGGTATGAATTCTTCCCTAACCTGAGCCAGGCTCACTGATTCCAGCAAACCAAGCCCCATTGCCACAATTACTGTATCAATCCATCTCATCCAAGGTCTTCCTCTTCTGTGTTGTCCCTCCATCCTTCCAAGCATGATGTCCTTTAATTTCTCATAATTCTGCACATTAAAAGTTCAAATCGGGGTCTTGTCCATGTCCATTCCTTGTAAGTAGACCCACGTAGTCCTTGGCTCCTTACATACCTTGGCTTGTAGACAATCATCACTTGTTCCTATTTTTTCCTCTGTCTGTGTGTGGGCCTATTTAGTTTGCCCTTTCTATATCTCAGAAACATTAAGGTTGAGAAATTGCCCTACTCAGATTCGGCCTAATAAACAACAACAAAACATAGCTACATTTTAAAAAATAGCTATATTTCCAAATATGTTAACACCTGCAGATATAAGGGCCAGAATGTCATATTTTTAATTTTTTTCTTTTATTAGTGACTTTAATAAAAGTTTACAGAGAAGTTGTATATTTATTCATTCATTGTTGCACATGAGAATCTTATATTGAGGGTACACAACGCAGTCTGGCAACCATTGTAGTGACTGTAGATCTTTTTTGGGTTTGGTGTCAAAGACGGGAGGTTTCTGTAGTCTGGTTGTTTCTGCATTGATGTTAACTCCCCCATAAAAAGGAACTCTTGGTTCAGAAAAACAAACATTTCCTAGGAATGGTGTAACTCTTTAGATTTCAGAATGTCTGTTAAGGCATTCTCTGTGTGCACTGCCAATACACTGGCCAGCTGTTGTTGTTGTTGTTGTTGTTGTTGTTGTTGTTGTTGTTATGTGCCGTCGAGTCGTTTGCGACTCATAGTGACCCTATATGTACAACAGCCCTAAACCCTGCTCTATCCTGTGTCAATCGCACTGCCTCTGACACACCCATCCCGATCACGCCCAGTCACTGAATCAATCCACCTCATAGAGGGTCTTCCCCTCCTGCACTGTCCCTCCACCCTCCCAAGCGTGATGTCCCTCTCCAAGGACCTGTCTCTCCTTACAACACGTCCAAAGTATGTCAGATGAAGCCCAGAATCCTTGGCTGCAAGGAGTGGCCTGGTTTAACCCTCTCCAGGATGAATCTGTTTGTTTTCCTGGCAGTCCAGGGTACATTCAATACTTTTTTCCAGCGCCACAGCTCAAAGGCATCAATTCTCCTTCTATCCACACTGGCCAGCTACAGTTTCTAAATACCTGGAGCACTCAATCCATGGAGAATCAGGTGTCATTCCTGTCAATTTCAGTGTGCTTTCAGAGAAACGACGATCTCCTACTCTGAAATGTCACCTTTCTGAGCAATTATTTTTAGACTTTTCTAGACTAATTTCATTAAATGGGTTCATGACCCAAGAGACTTACTGTCTATTTTGTGAACACAGATTTGAAAGAATGCATTGGCTTAGGCATAATGTTTGCCTTCAGTAGAACAAGAGCTGTAGTGTGTAATGCTATAGCTAGTACTAGTTATGTAAGATTTTTTAAAAAGGATTGCAGGCAAGGAAAATTTTAGGAATAAGTTATCTTGATATTCACCAGAGTTAAGGAAGCCGCCAAGGGTGAACAGTTCAATGCTAATAGGAATATTCTTGCATCAGGCAAGATGAGTCTCTCATCCTCTTAAGCATCTTTCAGGAAAACCTCCTCCTCAAGTGCATGTGCTCCCTGCAAAACAGAGCAAGTCCACACTTTGAGGAATCTTGAATTTTCATCCCTGTACAATTCCAGTTGTTGCACAGACGTTGAGGACCCTGAATCGTGTCCAACACTTTCTCCTGCTACTTGTAGCCTCTTAAAATCCTTTTGCACTCATTTTACCCCTTGGTTTAAGTTTACAAAATGCTTTTGGTTGCAATATCATATATTACTATTTTAATAGTGCCAGCTCTAGTGCCAGGCCCACTCTCCCTCCATCTGTTGGATACAGAAAAGTCCTTATTCCTTCAGCAACTATGACCCCGAGTTCGTTAGGGATACCCATGGGTCTTGATCTTCTACATGGTGAGCAACTCCTTGAGCAAAGGCTCAGGTCTCAAGGATGTATTCCACTTCTGGCATTTCTTCCTTGTTGGTAGCAATGTGCCCTGCTCTTGGGTAATTTTCTCCCTCTTTTAACTTTAGTGATATAAATAGCATGTCAGGTCACACCTCAGGGAAACTCTCCCTTTACATCAGATTATGGCTATAAAAGGTTTAAGAATTCCATTCCACACCAATTCTTTTATGCCGTAAATAATTTTTTTTTATGTTTTTCCTAAATGTTGTAATTGAAATACACATGGTAGGTAGTTTCCTCATTATTTATTTTGGTTTAGTTTAGTTCATGCACCTTTTTTTCTGGTATCCTTACTATATGCAAGCCCAGCAGTGTTTGCTAAGATGGCAGTGTCTTGCTCAGTCGTACGTAGGATTGTACAGAGTGGAAACCAACTTGACGGCACCTAGCAACAACAAGCATGGACATGAGTAGTGTTGTTGTCATTTTACAGTTGGAGGAAGACTTGCCAATGAAATGAATTAACTTTCTGAAGGACAAACAGTATACTTTCTCTTTTTTTTTTTTAGTGGTTGTTACATATCATTCTGTGTTTTCATTTGATCATTCATAGATGTTTCATTTGGCCATACATATTTTGTGTAATAATACTAATTACAATTGATTAATGTCATTAAATAAGTCTAGAGTCAGTATCAAGTAGTACTATTTATTAACGTACCAGGTTACTGTTGTTGTATACTGTTGAGTCAGAACCAATTCATAGCGGACCCTTGGGCGAGATTTAAGAAGTTGTGACTCACATGACTTTGACTGCACAGCTTTCTTCTGCAGTCAAGCTGGTGGATTTGAACCACCTGTCTTTGGGTTCAATTCCTTCACACTAGGCCAGAATATTGTGCCAAGATTCAAATCCAATTCTGGTCCAGAAGTTCATGTTCTTTCTTAAGGTTTCACAGATATCTGGTTGGTTATTTTGTTGTCTTTGAAGTCAGCATAAATCATTTTGTTCAAAGTCAATTGAACTCTTCATTTAAGAATTTTCGAAAAATGAGCAAAGAAGAATAAATCGTACAATGGTAAATGTACCAACACCAGGCAGCGATGCCACCCAGTTAGTAATACAAACTCAGCATTGTCTCTTTGAAAGACAAAACCTTGACCACAAAATCTATGATCAGCCTAGCTTTGACCCCATACATTATGTGGTTCAGGATAGAATCAGTCAACATACAAACATTGGCAAGCAAAATGTGTCTATGTGTTAAAAAGCACAGGGCACCAAAGTCACTGGGTAACTGTGCTACATATGCCAGGAAAAGACAACATGGAGTTTCTCAGAATGGCAGCCAGCTCTGTCCAGAGACTATTACTAAACTCCTTGGAAAAGGAAGCAGAGGATGACGATATAGGAAACTGATAAGCAAGGCAATAAATGCCACCATAAAGGAGCAGAGACAAGCCATACCAGACATG